ATTAGTATTACATGATGAATGAAATAATAATTTACAACTCTTTCAAACTTCAGTTAAAATGATTAACAATAAGAAACTTAGCTCACAGACATAGAATAATAACTCAATACCTCACATAGTTCTTTGAGCTTCAAAAGTATTGGGGCTAATTACATGATTGGTCACTGAGATTACAAAAAACGTTCAAGTTTGGTCACTCGAAATATTTAAATCCATTGGTGGTATTTTACTTTAAGAAAATCGTTCACGTTTGGTCACTCTACGTTAGCTGTCGTCCATCGCCGTTAACGGAGTCCGTTAAGTGATAACGTGTCAGACGGAATCGCCCAATCAGTACTATATAACCCAAAAATTGTCTGACCCGACCCACCACGTCATTGAGACCCGCCATGTCATCTAAACTTACACAACCCTCTAACCAAACCAGACTCGTTCCGACCCACCAACTAAACTACCCACTAAGATTAAAACCCTAATTTCTAAAACAAATCAACACCCTCCCCTTCTCCATCCCGCGACGCCTTCCTTCCTCCTGATTTTCTTCCTCTCCATCTCTGTTCGCGAATTCACCGGTGATGAAGGAGGAATGGAGCCGGCCACGCAGTGTGCTTAACTCCTTTCTTAATACCCATTTCAAACCCGCTTCCCATTTTCTCTTCATCGCGCGCGCGCCTGGTTTTCCCCTATTTGAGCAGACAACAAAACCCTAAATCGAAGCTTCGATTCTCCTCATCTCTACGACAACGAGACCCTAAAGGTGAGTTTCTGCCTTTTGTTTATTCGAGCCCTGTCTGGAAAGTGTGAAATGGAGAAAAGAATAAGGGGGCAGACGAAAGTATCAATGGGTGTTGTGGCTTTTGGGGCTTCTCTTTTAGCTTTGTTTTATACTAAACTGTAGGCTCTTGTCGGTTTTCCAGGTAACCAATTCACTCAAGGAATCATGGTGGGGCATGTGCGGGCTCCTAATGCAACTCAGCCTAAATATCGTTTTCGCTCTTGTCTTTATGGTAGATTGTTGGCTGGGTTGTTCTATTATATTCCACAGTTGGCCTTTATTAGTGATAAGGACAACACTGGGGGTAGTTTACAAATAGAAAAATGTGGGGTTCTGTGGGAATGACGAAAATGCAGTAGTAGGGTTCGACCTTTTCGGTCTTTTAATAGAAGTTGGTTGGACTTGACCACCTACTTCTCTGCTGCTCCATAACTACTCATTTCCTTTAAAATTAACTCCTATCAATTGCCGTTTTTTTAACAAACAAGTGCTTCAACTGGAGAGTTCACATTTGCAATTCATGTGTCTCATGAATTGGAAGAGGTTGGCGGCAAGCATTTCCTGAACGAGAAGTCCACTGTGTATTAGGACTATGCTGACATTTATGAACCATCATTGCTCGACCTTCCTAACATATATGCGACTTGTGGTGGGACGATTAAAGATCCTAAGTTCTATTGGAAATCTCCTTACACCGATGCAATGTCGGAGATTGCTAATGATGATGATATTTTGAGCATGTCAACGGTGGCCAAACGAAGATGAAAGAGTCATCGATTTTTACACTTTCTCGAGCAATGATATTGAAGATTTCATGGATAGTGAAAAAAGAGGAAGTTGGTGCTGTCAGTTTGAGAAAATGCAAGAAAAAGGGTGTTGGAGACGATTTGGAGGGTGATTCTGACTATGATGAGGAAGAAGACAGTGATGGTGACAATGTACAATTTGATGCAAATGCCACTCAAGAGGTGGAAGCCGACATGGGTAGTTTTGAAGTGGATGATGGGCAGCCTGAACTTGAAGGGAAAGGGTCTGATTATCAAGACTTTGATGATCGTAGGAGCATTGTAAGCTCGGACTTAGATGATGGAGACCAATCTCGGGAATTCCGGGTTGATCGAGATATGGTGATGGAGAGCCCTACTTTTGCTGCTTCCCAAAAGTTTAGCAGTTTTGGAGTCCTAAAAGATGCAATAAAGCAACATGCTTTCGTCGAGAAGAGGTAGTTCACTTTCAAAAGAACGACGGAAGGCGGCTTCAAGTAGTGCACAATCCTCCATGCGGTTGGTACATTTGGGCTTCGAAGATGAGTACTGAAGATCTATCCAAATCAAGAAGTGCAAGGTTGAGCACTCACCATATTGTAGGAAGACGTTCAAGGTCAAGTACGCTAGTGCAAAGTTTCGCGGATCCAAGCTAAGTAAGAAGATGACATGCGATAGGAACATGACAAGGGGCTTGTTGAAGCACATTATCAAAGAAGACTACAAGAAAGACATGAAAGACTCGAAGGCTTGGAGAATATGAGATGCAGCAATTGAGGAGGTTCATGGGAGTTTGAAGAATCAGTTCAGAAATTTGTTTCATTATGCCGAAGAGTTCAGGAGGAGCAATCCCAACTCTACAGTTATCATTGAGCAGAGATATCAATGCTTCAATAGGATGTACGTGTGTTTTGCGGCATCCAATGTAAGGTTCAAGGTTGGGTGTAGACAAGTGTTAATTATCGATGGTTGCTTCTTGAAGCATGAGTATGGAGGGAAACTACTATCAGTAGTTGGTGTGGATGCCAATGACTAATACTACCCAGTTGCTTGTGCTCATGTTGGAGTGGAGAATAAGGAAAATTGGGAATGATTCCTTGGGATGGTTGGAGACGACCTGAATATAATGGATAATCCTAGTTGGAATTTTATGTCTGACAAACAAAAGGTAAATGCTCTATTTAGTTGGTGATTTTTTTAAAGTGATTGACAATGTTTGTTTGTGGTATTTAGGGTCTCTTGCCAGCACTTTACAAATAGTTTCCAAACTGTGAGAAGATACACTGTGCAAGACACTTGTGGACAATTCTCAAGGGTGCTCGTGTCGTGAAGGTGGCCAAATGTTGAAGGATCTTTTTGGACAGCAGTTAGGGCGACTACTGCAGCAATATATGAGCATTCTATATCGCCAACCAATGGTAATTAAGGACTACTGGCCACAGTCCGAGTTAGGAGATTGTGGCATTCCTCCTATTCAAACCTCGAAGAAGAGAGTAAGACCACATAAATAGAGAGAAAGGGATTGGATGAGTATGTAGCAGCCAAGAAGAAACAAAAGAATGGGGGAAGAGAAATGTCAAAACCGGAAGGGAAGAAATACAAGTGTAAAGTTTATGGTGTACTAGGCCACAACAAGACTTTCCATGATGAAGCAAGTAAACAGAAGGTAGAAGAAAGGAAGAAAGAGAAGGGAGAAGCAAAAAGGCAGCATCAACTTGAAAGGGCTGAGCGTAACATACTTGCAGCATTGAAGAAGCGACAAGAGAAAGCTGCAAAGGCTGCTTCTTCATCGTCTAGACAGCCCCCACACGTAGTTCAACTCATGCCAGATGTGAGCTTTTATAACTTTCTTCATTTCCCTGCCTTATTAAGTATTTCCAGCATACTAATGTTGTCTTAATTTGCAGGGAAGTTCTCGAAGGACATCAAGTCAAGGCTCTCAACTCTCACAGATTGCAAGCCAAGTGACTCAAGCAGAGCAGATGTGAAGAGTAAATTTAGGTAATGTAGTGGGCGGTTAGGTCCTTGTGAATGGTTATTTTGAACTTTGAAGCCTCTAAGGCCTCTTGCAAATCAATATGGATTTGCCATTTTCTCATACAAGTCCATGGAACTTGACTTGTCGTTTTAGCTATCAGAGTGACTTGGCTTGTTAATTATGCATGACTCTTTTGGACAACAAATCTGTTAGTGCTCTAATTGTGAATGATTATCATATGTGATCTGTCTGTTTCCGACTTAACTGGCAAATTGAGTGTCATGCAGAACATGTTAAGTATTGAAGTGTGGTTATAAGTCTGGCTTTTCGAGTGGCCAAATATGGTCCTCCCATGTTTTTCCAGTGACCAAATGTGGTCCTCGAATGTTTTCACAGTGACCAAACGTGGCGTTTACATGTTTTTTTAGTGATCAAATGTGGATTTCACATGTTTTATGAGTGATCAAATGTGACTTCGTTAGCAAATTGGGTAACCAAAGATAGGTATTACTAGGATTATGGGTTACTAAATTTAATCCGAACAACTTTTTGCATGGTCAATCGTACAACTAAACAGAACTTTCAGATACAAAACGTGAAATTTAATTTTTCTAGGGTTACAGTCTACAATACAGAAACGAATGCTTACATCAGCTGCGATCCATCATATAGCTTCTTACATTCCCAATCCCATCCAAGTGAAAGACAAGACGAGAGCAATCACAATGAAGATGAACACTGGGCAGCCATTAGCTTTGGACCCTTTCCCGTGTTGCCTCTTCTCTAGTTCCCGAATTCGACGATGAAAGTTCAACACCACAAACTTCATATGTTCATCAAGTGTTGGGTCATGTTATCTGAAGAAACTACATGCCCCATTTGTCTACAAATCAGAGCACAAAAACAGAGAGGGATGAAGGAGAGGATGGTCGAATGGTTTACAAACAGATGCCAATCCACAATGACAGAAAAGTGTCGCCATTAGCAGAGGAGAAAGGGATAAGTGGTTGCAGCAGAATGAGAAGGAAACAGAGTGAGATGTGAACGTTTTGGGAAGATGAAAGGATTCTTGTGGCTAGAAAGCCACATAAATAAGATAGATGGGTTGGTGGGTCGGGTTGGGTCTGGTTTGGTTAGAGGGTTGGGTAGATTTAGATGACATGGTGGGTCTCAATGACGTGGCGGGTCAGACTATTTTCGGGTTAAATAGTGTTGTTTAGGCGATTTCGTCCGCTACGTCATCACTTAACGGACTCTGTTAACATTGATGGACGACAGCTAATGGAGAGTGACCAAACGTGAACGATTTTTGTAAAGTGAAGTACCACCAATGGATTTAAATATTTCAAGTGACCAAACTTGAACGTTTTTTTGTGATCTGAGTAACCAACCATGCAATTAACCCAAAAGTATTGATATAGAAAATTTAGTTTGTAGATGATTGATATTTACTGCCAGACTCCATTTAGTTATGCTTAGGAGAAACGTAAGTGTCACTTTACTACGTCGACATGTTCCCAATATCTAGCCTAGCTCTAGACAACGTTTCGGTATTGTCCAATGCCAAAGCATGCCTAAACATAAGTTTAAGCACGTTTTTTTGAAAGTGAGCTCTCGCCCAATAGTGAACATGCTTTTCAACTATCTCGCAAAACGTAATGAATGAGAAGCTTTCAGGAGATGCATAATTCGCTCACCATGTCATCTGGCAGCAGGTCATTCCACTCCAATAGGTGCATCTCTGTTGGCTGTTAAGCAGAGAAAGATCTCGACTTGCGGAAACGTTAAGAGTAGGAGTTGAGACTTTCCCAAGCAGATGAGTCCTATGTTATGCACAGGAAGACGAAATCAATCCTCTCCTTCAAAATTGCAGGTTTGCAAGGGAAGTGTGGTATGTCATTGGCAGGTTTGTAAAACTCGACAGTTGCTGAGGAATTATATCATAAGGTTATTGAGAGAATGGCCTTGTCAAACACCAGCATGTCCTAAGGAATGAACTGCAGTTATGCCGTGTCAAGGGATCACGTCCTTGTGGGTTAAGACGTCAAGTGCCCTCTGGCTGGATGAACACTGCAGGTTTTTGTTAGCTACTAAAGCGAACTCTCAAGCATATAAGCAACCGACTTGAGACCTTCCTGGCACATTCAAGAAAATACTATATTCAGTTTCAACATTTCTTCCCCCAATAGTAACAGTTTCATCACATTTACATCTATCTTCTACAACTGAATATCCATAAACCAAACCAAAGAGGGAAAGTAGAGACCCTAAAGCCAGTAGTTACAATTTCACTCAGTGGCTGTGTGAAGACTTCATAAGAATCCAAAGGGTTCATCAAAGGCACTCTACGAATCAGCAGCCCTGAAGATGGTCAACAACGAGAGGAACAGGTTGATGATGTCCAAGTAGAGAGATACAGCAGCCCAGATATATTCATCATACGAGTAGCGCTTGATGAGGTTGTCCGTGTCGTACACAATGTAACCACAGAAGATGATTGAAGCCAAGCACCCGTAAATCGTCTGTGACAACTTACCCAACGGGAACAGAATCTGCATCCACAAGCACACACAGTCATGGAAATGAAACGTCACCTTCCAGAATAGATTTTATCAGTCGTTGGGACAAGATCCAAAAAGCAAAGATTCAAGGGTGTCCAAACCTGGATGAAAGCAAAAACCATGAGGACAAGTACAGCACCAAACAAGAAGGGTCCAAGGAAATTGAAATCATAGCCTCTCTTAGCTGCCCAGAATGTGAAGAGGGTTAAACCCACAACCATTGTGGCTGTCAGGATCACAGCTTCCAGGATAACTTTCCCTGTTGCCAAGTCAAATCAGTGTCTCTTCATAGTCAGAACCACGAATAGATGTTAAAAGCTGTCATGAGAAAGGCGTCAACTCTCGTGGAGAGGGGGCATCAGCTAAATGGCAAAATGGAGTTTGGCGCTAAAATGTCAAGCAGCTAAAGCAAAAGTGTAGGATAACAAGTATCAGAAAGAGAGAAGTGGACCAGCAACCAGCTAGTATCAGTTTACGAAACCATGACAGCTCTAATCTAGAACCATGTCACTTATAAGGGATCTCCACATGAACCCTCTCTCGCATACCAAGCCACTACCAATGCCGCTAGCCTATCATTCTGCCCCTGATACTGGAGATCTGACCTACATACATATATACCAAGACTGGACAGCACGAGACTGGAAGACACCAGACGAGCTCCCATACAAAAGATTCCCCTGAGCTGGGGCAATCTTGATGCTAACGTCACCAAACCATCATTGATCAAGGGGCAAGGTCGAATTGACAGAAATCCCACGCACTACCAAACCCTAAGAGAGAAACCTGGTCTGTAAAACTACCACGTCCCAATTCCACCAACATTACCAAACGAGATTGAAATGGACTTACCGCTGGTGAATGCGCACGTCAATCCCACGGCGAAAGCAATCGATATGGTGAAAATCCCCAAGAGAATATAGTTCACGGGATGCTTCTGGTGATAGTAATACAACGGGCACAGAACTGCACGAGGAGGAGGAAAAAAAAATCGCCGGAAAAGATCAAACCAGGGAGATAAAGAAACGCTGAGACTACATTTCGACGGAAAGATGGGAAAGGCAAATTGAGAGAAACCAAGGAGAGAAAAAGAAATTGAAGAGTCTTCTCACCAATGAAGGGCGTGACGAGGAGGACGATGTAGACAGCCAATCCAGCGCCGGAACTGACGAAGAAGGTCGCAATCGGACGCACGGAGACGACGGTTGCGGCGACGGCGATGGTGGCGAGCAACTGGATGGAGATGATGGAGTAGATTTTCCTGATGAAAGACCAGCGGAGCTCCGGGCTTTCCAGCATCATCGGGTACAGTGGCCTCGAGGCTCCGGCCTCCACGTCATTCTTCCGGCTAGGCTGGGCCCACATGATTTCGAGTTTCCCTGAACAAGTTGTCGCTACAAGTCGGAGCTGCAAATGGTAGGGTTTGATGATATTCTCTCAGCTCGGCGGCGGAGACAGAGGAAAGGAGGCGTATCGGAGTAGGAAAGCGAGGCGAGGCGGTTTCTTGATGGAGGAATTAGGGGAAGGAGGCGTGACTGGAGGGTGGAGAAGAGATATAATAATAAAGCTGGAAAGCGGTTTGCGGTAGTATGGAGAAACTTCAAGATGCGTCGCGTATAGAGCGTCGTAGAACCGTGCCCGCGTTTGTACACGTGGCGCAGTACTGATATGGACACGTGTTTTGACAACAGGGATCTAGAGGTCTCGGTAGTTGCGAGTTTGGCGGCACAGCGGGTGATGTTAGCGAGTGCAATTTGGTAAGGAATTAGGCGAATGTGATGTGTTTTGGGGAGAAATCAGTAATGGTGTTTCCTTTCAAGCTAATCTTTTTTTGGCTTCTTAGACAAGTAGCGTAGTACACCAACCTTCGGCTTATTTGATACAGGTCGTAAATGAGCCAATCTGTTTGTACATCGTTCCCAACTCAATTTGAAAATTTTGTTTTGGCTCAATTTTTAATATGTTGATTCGTGAGGCGACTCGTTTGTTAAGGAGTTCAACACGAGTTGAAGCCTCTTTAACTCGGTCAAACTACTTCGCTTCGTTGAGACGGGCTCGTGAGCTGGCTCGATAGTGTGGTTTGCGAGTTAGCTCAATTGAAACTCACAAGATAAATTAATATTGTGGCTCGAAACTTAAATCAATTTAAAGTCGACTTGATGGTATGCCTCACAAACCAATTCAATTAGTTTCTCATTACATTGGCTCCTAAATTGGCTTACTGTTAGTCATATAGCTCGTATGTTGGTTAGATAACATATATTTCAACTTATTGTTAGTGATATACTTAAATTCGTAGGTTGGTTATACTACATATCTTACAACTTAATGTAGTTTGAGAATTTGTATAAATGGCTAAATAATCATTATATACTTGTGTGTCATATCTTAGATTTATGCATGCTAAACATACATATAAAATAAATACCACTCATCAAATATAAATTACTAATTACAAAGTAACATATAGACTTTTAAAGTTCGGTATATGAATTGGTTTGTTGAACTTATGTTGAAATTTGTTAATGATTTTTCATTTGGACTATGTACATAACTTCCTCTCGTTAGGTCATAGGTGTATCACTTCCTATACGTCTATATTCCATCCCAAATGCTCTTTCCTATTATTTGTTGCATACTATAATCCACTCAAACACTCAATACTATAATGTTATAGGGTTAATAGCATTTTGTACCCCTCTACTAAGATAAATTAATAAACGTACATCTTTACTTAATTTTTGCACAAATATACTAATGGGCCACGTGGTTGAGCGGTATTGGACTTAAATCCCAAGGAGGAAAGTCAACAAGCCCAACTCGGTATGGAGGCCCAGCCAGCGTGCGGTCAGGAGGAGCTAGCCGTCCATTCACAAACAAGACAGGATGACCGCCTGATATAAAGCACTTATGGTGCCAAGAGGGAGATATCCGATTAAGATTTACCTCGGTATAAGCAGGTATAAGCATTAATTACCCGCCGTAGGCAGTCTCGTACGAGGTAAAGTAGGTTTAGGGCGCCTGATATAACATTTAATGCCCTAAACTCTCCTCTAACTAGGTATAAATACCCCATATGAGCATTGATGGTAACTCAATTACTTCCTCTCTCTAAACCTAACACATATTCCTACTTCTCTCTCTAACTAAAACTTTGGAGAGTGTCTTGGGTGACCGCCCACGGACCCTTGTTTCGCAGGGTTCAGGAGTGCCTCCCATCATCAAGAATAGATGCTTCCCTCGTGCTCCGCAAAACCGCTAAGTACTTTCTAGGCCCTAACAATTTGGTGCCCATCGCGAGGCACAAAGTGAAGTACTGAAGAAATGGGGGATGGGAGCTCCAGAATTCCAGTCAGAGGCATAATAAAAAGAGAAGGCATTCGTGGTTTAGAAATGCCAACAGTGGAAGAAGAATGGAGATAGAAGACTGCGTAAAGGATTAGGGGCAGCAAATCTCCAACATGAAGGAGAGGTTGAGCCAAATTCTCACCATGCTTAAAGGAAGGGATGCACCAGAGAACTCAAAAAGGCGGAAGGACAAAGGCAAGGGGGCGAGAGACGAGATACTTTCCAGCCCTGCTCAAACAAAAGGCGGGGAATCCGAAGGAGAAGAGGACACAGAGTAGCTCAATTTGAGTTTCTTGAGGAACACCTCAAGTCATCATACGGGAAAACAAATAGTCACAAAACCCTCTAGCGAAAAGCCTGTTCAAAACACAAGTGATGTCCAACTTCTCATTGCTAGGAATGCCGGCCTACAGTGGAAACTCCAACTCGACAGACCATTTAAGCGCCTTCATGCTCAAAATGAAACTTATGCAAAGCATTTCCAGTAACCTTCAGCGGTCAGTGCCAAATCTGGTATACTTCCCTCCCCGAAGAAATAATCAAAAGTTTCAAGCGGTTCATCATGCTCTTTTCGTCAAAATTTGCATCTTAAAGGAGAAGGAAGCTCACGATTTCAGCACTTATCAACTACAGACAAGGGGGGAGGAAATGTTGATAGACTTTTACGACTGATGGAATACAATAGCTTGCAAAATGAAGGGAATCTCACCAAGCATAGCAGCTGGCAATCTGCGGATGTAAACACATAGTCGTGAGCTGAAGAGGAAACTCATAAAAAAGAGCACAATCTAGGGACTTGGTCAAACCTCGACCGCTTAGTGAGAAAGGCTATTGTGTTGGAAGAGGCTCTGACGACGGAAGATTATGTAAAGACCGCTCATCATAGAGCGGAAAAAGCAGACAAAAGGAGAATAGAGTCGCCCAAAAAAGGGGGTGTACGCCTGAGAGACAAAATTACAAACCCTAGTTCACTAACCAAGACAATAGGCCAGAAGTATTCTCCACTTGCAAGGAAGAAGGCAAACATCGAGAAGGGACGAGTCAAAAGAAGCACAACAGACGCAGAGGAGGGAAGAAGATCGAAAGTGGTGTGACTGGCACCAACTGGAAACTCATGACACCACAAAGTGTCGTGAATTCAAAGCCTAACTTAAGTACCTAGCGCCTAGAGATTTGATAAGCCACCTGGACACACAGGCGCACAACATGGAAAGGACAGATGAGCGGGAAAGGTCGCTAAGCCCAAGAAGAAGATCTCGTACGCCCAGACGTAAGAAATCAAAATCGCCAAGGCAAGAGCGGTCTCCCCGGAAGGAAACACTTGCCACCACCACCAAGACGTACCCCACCGCGATGAAAACCTCGTATGAATGAAGGTGACGTGGAAGTCATAACAATAGCTGGGGGGCACAAGTGACCCCGAATAGAAATGGACCGCCTGGCCAAGTGCTTGAGCATCCACAAAAGCGAGCAAGTGCAAATAAGTTTTCACCCTCCGAGCTGGCGCTAGAGGAGTGTGGAGAAGATCCACAATTAATTTCCTTCCAAACAAAGAAGTTCAAAGTCACCAGAGCGTTGGTCGACAACGAGAGCTTAACAGACATCATATTCTACTCCACCCTTAAAAGCATGAAAATGAGTGTACAAAATCTTAAGCCGTCGGCGACTAGCCTGGTGGGGTTCTCGGGATCCAAAATTCGGGTGCTAGGATCCATAAACCTACAAGTTGCGATAGGAGAAGCTGGAGTCATGAAAACACGCCTCAAGGATTTCCATGTAGCCGACTGTCCATCGGCATACAGTGCAATCCTGAGCGTAGCTTCCTGTCAACTTTTTCAACGGTCCCATCCACCTACCATGCACTCAAGTTTCCCATAGGGGGCAAAATTGGATGCATTCGGAAAAACACCCAGCAAGCAAATAAATGATTACAAAGCAACCATAAAAAAAACCTAGAGGTCGTTCTGGTCGACACACGAGGAAGCCATCCCTAGCCTGAGCCGGTTGAAGATGATACGTCGTCATCCTAAAAGAAGTAGAACCTCAGAAGAAATTCAGAATTTGTTCTCATCTTCCAGAGCGGAAAGCACAAGAAATCCTTATGCTTCTCAAGGAGTACAAAGACCTATTTGCATGGAGCTCATAAGATATGCCAGGAGTTTCAAAATAACTTGCTGGACATCATCTAGCAGTCAAAAGTAAGGCAAGACCAATACAACAGAGGAGAAGAAATACCTCCCTAGAAAAGCAAATGGCACTAGAAGAGGAAGTGAAGCGCTTGCTGAAAGTCGGTTTTATTAGGGAAGTCAGGTATCCCACTTGCTTGGCTAATCCGGTCTTTGTTCGCAAAGCATCAGGATTATGGAGAATGTGCATCGACTTCAATGCGGCCTACCCGAAGGATGCATATCTTCTCCCAAGGATAGACCAAATTATTGATGCAACCGCCAACCATGCAACCTTAAGTTTCCTTGACATGTTCTCCGGATACCACCACATACGGTTGTCAAAAGAAGATTAAGAGAAATCGCCTTCATGACACACATGGAGAATTTCTGCTACACGATAATGCCATTTGACTTGAAAAATACTGGTGCAACGTATCAACGAATGATAGATGTGGTATTCAAAAGCCAACTGGGTAGAAATGTAGAGGCATACATAGATGCCGTCCTCGTCAAGAGCAAAAAAGAAGGTGATCATCTGAAGGATCTAAGGGAAACGTTCGACAACTTAAGAAGGGAGTGCCTTAGACTGAACCCACTCAAGTGCATGTTCAGTGCAAAGGCAATTAATTAAATAAATACAACCCCTAACCTAATTCATATGTGACGTTCCGACTTCACACTTAATCAGCTTCCACACTTCTCCGGCTTCTCCCTGACGACCGGTTCTCTCTACTCTAGCCGTCGGTGAAGAGATATCGGGACTAACCAAACAATCGGTCGACCCCCGCTGCCAAAATATGGCGATGATGAAAATCTCTATCGGACTGAAACAAATATGTATATTTAAAGTGGTTTTCTCTGATATTTTTTTGGTGCCTTTTGGAGTCTCCAAATTATATTATCTTCTTCTTTCTGTTCTCTGTGTCTGCTGGGAAATAAATATGGGATGGTTTTTCTGCAACTGCAAGTATTGGTGTGCATTGGGAGAAGGTTATTTGGTCTCTTCTTAGAATTCGGCTTACGTCGGGAAGGGGGTGAAGAAACACGGTATATGGGTCTGG